ATTTTACATTTGTGAATTTGTCTATCAAGCTCATTTCCGTTGTATGCTTTCCTCTTGCTATCTTTGTCCCACATTTTGTTCCTTGGGATACTGGTAGGGGAGAGGTCAGAAAAAGGTCCTCCATTTTCTACCCTGAGCATATTACACTCAGGGGCTATACAGAAGGTCCCTAAGGGGTGGCTCTGTGATGCTCCTGGAAGCGCGGGATCAGGGCTGTGGCAACCGCATGCTGCGGCCCCGTTCTGGCACTTTGCTGCTCCAAAAAGAGCTGGCAAATACCATTTCTTTTTGGAGTGGCAAAAAGCTGCTCTTACTGCTGCCGCTGCAGCAGCTCTTCTGTACTCCTTTTGCGCAGCGTGTCTGTAAACTGTGCCAAGGGAGCACCCTGACGCCACGCGCCATGTAGTGGGGTATGTGGCATGACAGCGGTGTTGGGGCAGAGTCAAGGCAGCCTGCATGTGGTCATCCTGCCCCAACTCCACCCCCAGGCTGGCCTTTTTGGACTTAGAACTGCCCAGATTTGCTCCCTTCAAGGAAAATAAATAAATGAAGAAGGACTTCACTGATACATTGTCCACATTTCATTGGGAAGAACAAAGATTTGTTTTCTTGAAATTTATTGACATATTGTGCTGTCTCTATCCATTTCATAGATCTTGTTTTGACAACAACGATATGTCCATCTCTGCTCTAATATTTGATTTTCTTTGTTTAAAAACATTTCTTTACATCAGACCCTACAAGCTATGCTTTCCCCCAAATATGCACATGTTTTATGCTCTGCTCCACCAATATATACTTTATGTTAATTATTAGTTCCATGAACTACACTGAGAACTTTTGAAAAAGTGCCAATGCTGAATTACATTTATGTTCTCAGTCATATGTTGACTCAGGAAGTGTGAATTTGGTATGTTATTTTCAAAATGTGAACTGAATGATTTGATGAAATTCTCCCAGTCCTTACCTACCATGAGCATTTCCAAAGAGAAAAAGAGAAAATTAAGTGTGTGTGTGTATGTGGATATGAAGTGAAAAAGTAACAACTCCACATGAAGCTCCTGGCCCCAGTGGTGTATGTCATTTAACTAATAGCTCTGAGAAAGAGTAATGGTGACATCAGTCAATGCAATATTAGTTCAGTGACACAAAAGGTTCACAGTTGTTCCACTGGCTTATTTAGAATGAAGAACCAATGCTGATCACACTCACAATGAAGCTACACACTGCAGAAATAATGTAGTTTGACACTGCTTTAACTGCCATGGCTCCATCCTGTGGAATCTTGGGATTTGTAGTTTGTTGTGGCACCAAAATATCTCACAAAACTACAAATCCCAGAATTCCATAGCCTGAAGCCATGGCAGTTAAAGTGGTATAAAACTTCATTCATTCTGCAGTGTAGATGCAGCAGGATTGAAGAAAAGCACCCAGATAGCTACATATGAGTGAAAACTAGGCTAGTAGGATGTAAACTCTTTGGAGGATGGGATTATTCCTTCTGGAGAAGACGTTGATACAGATTTTTTTTTTTTATCAAAAAAGACAGAATTTGTTGGAATGTAAACAAGATGGATTAAACTATTCTGTCAAAGAGAAATGAAATGGAGAAAGGGTTTTTTCAGGAGAGAGAGGTTAAGAGAGCACAGGCCTAAGATATTTGTGGGAAAAGGAGATTATTGGGCAATGTTTTATCATCTCCCAGTTCTCTTCATCTGTACTTCACTAGAAAAAGTATTACGCTCTTTGCATATCATGTCTAGGGCCATTGTGAAGTTAAAAATACAAGTTTCAGATCCTTAAAGGAAGGTGGCATATATAAGCTATAAGCGAGTACTCCTTAAACATGCAGGGCAAAACCAGCTAGGAACATGAGCAAGCCTGGATCCTGCAACAAGGCTCCCAAAAGGAAAATTACTGCCCTGATCATTTTCCTGGTTGTCTTCCAAATAGCCTTGTCAAATTATTTAAAGGCTGTATTGTGATATTATTGAAGCTCCTACCAAGCCACTCTTGGCAGAAGAAACCACTTATTGGCAAGTGTAAGTGGATGAAGTGCTACTGTTTGAACAACCTGCACGGCTACAGAAGGAGGAGAGCATTTTAATTCAGTTTGCTGGCCAGTCAGAGAGCTTAAGGGCTCTAGAGACTGAATAATGAAAAGCTTCTCCCTCTCCCTCTTGTTCTTTGTCACTTGCTGTGCTTGTGGCTCCCCAGCCACAGCCACCATCTATCACAGAGTTTGCTTCCACACCACACAGTTATAACACTTTGATACCACATCATCATTGGTTGCACCCTACAGAATCCTAGGATTTTCTAGGGCTGGTCTACACATAAGCATGTTCTGCAAATTGCTGTGGATTTTCACATATTTTAATTGATTTCATTTTCCTATGCCAATTTGCATCTCTTGGTATCTCTTTGCCCTTCCTCTACTGCAAATGCACAGCCATGCGAATTCGTACAAAGCAGACGGATGCCCACATGTTCAATAATGGGGATCCATGAGGATACTCTGAAAAACAACCACAAAGCTGTTTGTGGAGTTTTTCATCCATTCCCTTACAAAAACACCTCTGAATTGCATGTGGCGGGATCACATACTATTTGAATAGAATAAGTAGCATTTCAATTGCGTAGATAAGTTCCTAGTTTTGTGAGGCACTAGAACATTCTGGAAGAGAATATGAACTATCTCCCCTAACTTCTTGTTGTGTGCTTTCAAGTCATTTCTGACTTTTGGTGACCCTAAGGCAAACCTATCATAGGTTTTTCTTGGCAAGATTTGTTCAGAGGAGGTTTGCCATTGCCTTCCCCTAAGACTGAGACAGTGTGAGTTGCCAAGGCACCCAGTGGGTTTCATGGCCAAGCTGGAATTGAACCTGGTCACCAGAGTGGAAGTCCAACATTCAAACCTCTACATCATGCTGGCTCATTATAGTAGAATCAAAGTGCTAGAATTGTGTGAAAGAGAGTTGGATGAAAGTCTTGGATAAAGAGAGCAGGGATAGCGGCAAGGGGGAACACAGACAACAAAATGCAGCTCCTCTTTAGCGTTTATATTTCTATACCGCTTCATAGTGAACTCAGCATTCTCTAAGCAGTTTACAATCTGTACACCAATTGCCCTTAACAAGCTGGGTATTCATTTTACTGACCTACAAAAGGATGGAAGGCTAAAGGGGTGTACAGACGGACAGCCACGGCTACCCCATGTCGTGGCCCAAATCCTCCCTTTTGCCACCCTGAAAAGAGCAGAAAATCCTGCTCTAAGAGCTGGCGTGTGGCTCTTCTTTGCCCTTACTGACACAGTACGTCAGAACGCTGTGCCGGAAGGGCGTCCTGACACTGCACACTGTGTGTAACGGCATGCGGCACCAGGAAGGCATCAGCATGGGCTACCTCACCCCAACTGTGCCTCCTAACCCTAACCCTAACTCTTTGGGATGGTCTGCAGAGGCCCTAAGTCAACCTTGGAGCCCTGGGATCAAACTCACAACCTGCAGTGCCACTGTGTCACTACGGCTAGTCTTTCTTATTGTTCCCGGAAAATACCCTTAAAACTGCACAGCCTTTCACTATCCTGTCTATCCTGCCACACATTTTGTTTTCCTGGTGCAATCCCTGTCAACCATTGTACTGAAGGCGACCCTTCCTTCTATTTCTTAACAGGAAACCATAACCAAGAATCTTGGCAAAAATCCCAAAACGAATTATGTGGCAGTGTGATGTTATTTAAACACCAGAACCTAAGCTCTGTCAATTGTATTAATTATATTTATGTATATGTATGTGCCTTCATGTTGCATGTTGACCTCATGAATTTCATACTAGGAATACTTAGAGGTGGTTTTGCTGGTTCCTTCCCCTGAAATGTAGTATACTTAGTAATCCATAAAGATTTAAGCAATTCTGATGGGCTTTCACTATGCTGGGACGTATTGCATTTATATTTAAATGATCTACATTATTTCTAAATATGCACTTAAAATTAAACTCTGCAGACATTATGTAAGCTGGTGGTCTCATTTCTCCTTTTTTGAGAGAGAGGAATAGACAGAGAAAGAGGGAGAGAGAGCAAGTTGTAGTAGTTTTAGTGTTGGAATAGGACTCTGGGAGACCAGGGTTCAAATACCCAGTTAGCCACTGGGAAGGCAATGGCAAACTCCTCTGAACAAATCTTGCCGAGAAAACCCAACTGTAGGTTTGATTTAGGGTTGCCATAAGCTAGAAATTACTTGAAGACACCAACCCCCCTTTCCCCCACTCATAGTCTTTTACTATGTGTTTTTAATAGTTTAATTCAGTTTTAATGTTGACTTTTTATGTTTTTGATTGTAATCTTTTTAACAATGAAGACAAAGAGTTCTTGTCTCTTCTTTGCTTTCCTTTCCCTGGCAGGCAAAAACTTTTTTTTTCTTTTCAAGCAGGCTTTTATTATGTAATTGCACCCAGGGAAGCTTTTTAATTGTAGTGCTTGCTTTTGTATGTTTTTAATGGTTTTGTATTTTTAACATGGTGTGTTTTGATTGATTTTATATTTTTAGCTTGTTATGTTGTAGTAATGTGATGTTTTCAATTGTGTTTTTAAAATTGTACTTTTTTGTGTGGGTAGCCTTCAGTCCGATTTAGGAGAAAGAAAGAAAGAAAGAAAGAAAGAAAGAAAGAACAGTGTTTTAATTTTTTTAATTATTTTAAATCAATGTTTTAACTGGATTGGTTGCAAGCTATTTTAACTTGTATTGTAAGCTACATTTGGTCCTATTGGGAGAAAGATGGGATATAGATGCAAAACAATGCAATGCAATAAATTGGCTGCTCTAAGTGCTCTATACAGGAATGTCATTACTTTCTGAGTATTTTCTCTTCAATTTGTACTGTTGTTCTTGTGTGTCTTCAAGTCATTTCTGATTTATGGCAACCCTAATTTGACCCTATCATGGGGTTTTTTGGTGCTGAAAGTGTGTGACTTCCCAAAGTCACCCATTGGATTTCCATGGCTGAATGAGGAATTGAACCCTGATCTCCAGAGTTGTAGTCCAATGCTCAAACCACTACACCATGCTGGCTTCAACACTAGCCAAAATAGCCCATGGAGAGGAATTCTGGGACAACATATGGAGGGGCACATTTCCTACTAGTATGATAAGTCACCTCCTTTAAGTAGAATCATCATGTTGCTGTCTTCTGTTTTTGCCACCATCATTAACCATCCCTTTCTTTTGTCATTCTATCCCTATCTGTCCTGAACTACAGATTTGCAGATTAGAAATCCCCAAACACCTTGATCCTAGGGGAATGAAACATTAACTAATTAAGTTGAACTTTAAGGTGCATCATCTAATTAATGTGAACTTTATAGGGATCAGACTATAGGAATTCAGAATGAATTGAATTTTTAAAATGACAAAGGACAGCACCTCAGGCTATTTGTTGGCAAACAAATAAACAAATGTGAAACTGAAATTCTTCTGGGTGGAAAGAAAGATCCCGACATGTGGATAGCAGCAGTGACTATTGAATTTCTGGAGCCCATTTGGTACAGGAGATTGATGGCTGAGTGCCCGGCATTTACTGAGAAGCAACGGGATGGATTTCAATGAATTTACATCCAAGTAAGCATTATATTCTGGTGGGATTTTTCTCTAACAAAATAGGCTGGATTGGGATTTAGGCATCCTTACAGTAGTTCAACTAAAAGCATGCACTTATTTTTGTTTGCCATGAAACCTCTATGGCTTTTGTCTAATTGAAAGGATCTGGAATTAGTGGAAACCTACATTAATCTTGTCTTACAAATATCCCATCGATTCAATTAGCCTATTCTAGTTGCCTCATTCCCATCTTCCTAAGATTTCCTGGCAACAGAATTGCAATGACATTTTTATCATAGTGGATAACTACCTGCTACAACAATAACATACTTTCCACTTTTCCCAATTTGTCAGAGACAATCCTATGTTG